GAATGGGCAATCTTTTGTTATGACAACCAAGTAATGTCATGTTTTTATTCATTGACATTTTTTTGTACAAATGTGAAAACAGTCTTTAAATCAATTCTGTGTGAACACAATCGTTAAAGCCATGTCTGATGGGCCGGGACGATAAGGCCTCGTTCTCCCCGACCAGAGAATTCCACAATGGCCAACATCCAGCAAATCCTCCTCGCCATTCAGCCAGTCTTTACTGCGACCTCGCCTCGGGCTAACCATTATGATATGAATGCTTCTTCACGAACGATTCCCACTTTTATCCGAATCCAATGTTATCTGGAACGCAAACCGTCCGCAATTGCTATTCATATTCAAAAGAATCCGCATAAGTGTATTTGCTATCTTTCCAAATCATTCTATCGTAATTCCTCTCTCAATTCACAATGCTCCGATTTACCCCATGAAGAACATGCATGTGTCGTTACGGAAATAGCATGTGCATGTCCACGCGACACCTACTTCCGGTTAGGGGCGTTGATCCACCCAAAAGAAAATGGCGGTATAAATTAGCATTTTACCAGCGTTCGTGTGCCATCACTTAGCAAACGCAAGAGACCACTTAAACCCCCCGTTGTCAGCTGTAATTATAGAATGAAGAAGTTCAGAAACTTGAGAGCTCTAACAGCCTGAGCGGGAAGAATAGGACGATACATTCAAATCAATATATCTGCTAAACGACAGCCGAAATTCGGTGTTTTTACGACATCATCGCTTGTAGAAAACCCTTGTGAATGACAATAACTAGAAGCGGTTTATTAAAATGGAAAATCCATTGGTGTTTTCAACACTCAAGAGCAAAGAAAATATTCCCTGTTTCAATTCATGAAAATGACTGTTGTCGAAAGGATCTTGAAATATTCCGTTTCAGGCTTCGGAGGTTTTGAGACAAAACGCAGGTCGTTTTTTCTTTGAAATCGAGCGAGAAATGCAGAAATCCATTTTACAGTGATCCTCAAGTTGCGGTATGCTTTATTTCACCGTCAGTGAATATTCATTACGAATGTCAGATTTACGAGAAACTCTGAGTTTTTCTTCAACATAACTGTTATTGAATTTTCGGCCATATTTAATAAAGAAACGATTTACTGTCAAATGTAATTATTCCTTACTCTCGTTACATTGTCCATTTTCATATTTTCCTCTTAAATACCATGTAAGATGGATTTAACATTAAGTACTTTTCGAATCTGACGTGAGAATAGCTACATGAAGTAATCGTCTTATTTACAAGCCTCATTATCAGTTTAATACCTTCAGTGAACAAGTAACATTTTACGAGCCCATGCCTTATTTAGCAAGAGTAATATCATCTTGTGAAGGATAATTCATTATGTGAACGTACTAACTGTGTTTTTTTCTTATTGTTCGTTTTTGTCGGAATAAAATGCGAGTAAAATTGTGCATTGGTGTGATGAGTAATCGCCCGATAAGGCATCAGCCTTAAAGGGACATAACTCAGTACCAACAATTGTGATCGTTCTCAGTGCCTGTTCAATATTGATTTTATCAACTGCATTGTTGCACGAGGCGTGTGAAATCGCTGATTTGATTTCCTGAAATCACATAATGCATCAATGTATGTACATATAGATAGGGGCATGCATGTAGATGGACTATTACATGACTGTTTGGATGAATGCACTTTATTTTATATTTCTTAAATTGTACACAGTATATTACATAACAACCTCTTAATCAGTTCTCCCCATTTTAATCAGTTGATTTTGCAAAATCTTGACCTGAAATCTGCGGAAAATATGTAAAGATTTAAAGTATTGTTTGTCATTTGAACACGATCCATCTCTTTCTCTGTGTGCGTGCGCGTGTGTGCGTCCGTGAGTGCATGTATGTGTGTGCGTGCGTGCGTGTGTGAGGATGGGGTTGTCGGAGGGGGAATCCGTGGTTATTTGTCACAGACCTTTTCAGTTTTTGCATCAATTTCTTTCCGTGAAAGGAATAGACTACAATTTCAACAAATATTAGGACACTGCAAGGGTGGATGAAACTAAAGACTTAATATTTTTTTCATGTTCTACCCAAAATCATCAAGAATCCCAGAGCCCAATCCCTGCATATCGAATGGTCGATTCCTGGTTTACAGTGCCCAGTGCTTGTAACAGACTACATCAGTACAATTCCCTCAACATTCAGGACATGGATATGTAAATGTATATGTTTCATCAGTAAGCATGTTATTGTATGAACTGTATTATACACGATGTATATACGAATATTCTGAAAATTGACCTTATCTTCAATTTTATGCTTTATGTGTACAATGGTAAATTTCAATGGCGTATTTTTAGCTGAACAAAGCTTACATCCCATAGTACTTTTGCGTGTAGGTATGCCATATACTAAACAGATGCTAGATAATTTTGTAAATGGATAACCACGAGAGTGCCAGAGACGTCCACAGAGTAACACTGACAGAAAGGATTGACCAACACGCTGCTCCACCCTTTATCCAATCGAACACGCAAAAGGCTGGTTAATCCTGCCAGTCAGCTTATGCCTTTTGACCCAAATAACGCAGGTTCTTCACGGAATGGTTTATACGCTTCACAGACAAAAGTGGGCATTGCCACATTTTGTGTCTTGATAATTAATTGTGTCAAAGTAATTACAAATGTTACCAAAATCTCACCAGTTTGAAATTCAGTGATCAACAGCACGAGCATCAGTCTAGGCAATTGGGAACCGATGACATGTGTCAACCAAGTCAGCAAGTCTGACCACCCGATCCCGTTAGTCGCATCTTACGACAAGCATGGGTTACTGAAGACCAATTCTAACCCGGATATTTTCACGTTTCACTCACTAAACTAACAAGGCAATCTAGGTATAACACAAAAAGGTATACGATAACTATTGCCTGGTATATGACAATAGTTACTGCAAATCGACGTAGAAGAATCGAGTCTAGAAAAAGAAACGTATTCTAAAAAATCTGAGCCAGACAATTACGCTTATGAATAAAACAAACTCACAAATTGTTCCCCCTGCCCGACTGAGAATCATGGATCGTGCTCAATGACACGCAAATATAACTCACTTACTATTCATAGTTTTATCTGGCCCTGTTGCTATATAAACGCTTCACACAATGTCTATATTTTAGAGTTTTAACATTTTATATTCCACTAGGCCTCTTATGTAATAAAATATTTCAGAGAGTCTCTGCTTCAGGGTGCCGTTGTGTAGATAGGTAGTGAACAAACCCACTTGTGCCAAGAATGTGCTGTGAAATATGGGTCGTATGGCTAATGATGGTTTTAACTGACAGAAATGGGCTTCACACATTGTACCCATTTGGGGAATCGAACTCGGGCCATCAGCGTGACGAGCTAACGCTTTAACTACTACCCTACACCCCATCCACCCACACACCTACCACCCCAAACCCCAAGCCCAACCCTGGTTTAAAAAAATGCTGTGTTTAGGTTAAAATAGTATGTTATAGATATTAAATTTAAACCTGGACATTCATGACACATGGTGGATTGGGTGGACAGTCTCGGTGGCTTTGTTGATTGTGTGTCACCCCTACGGCGTTGAAGGTTCCTCATGTTATCAAGTAATCAGGCTCGATCACACAGGCCACCGTCAGATGGAATGTTATTGAGTGCGGCTTTCAAGAAACGAACAAACCAAATCACTGATTACGCACATTATTTGGGAATGAGTGAGTATGGTTTTACGCCGCTCTTAGCAATATCCCCACAATATCACGGCGGGGGACACCAGAAACAGGCTTCACACATTGTACCCATGTGGGGAATCGGACCCGGGTGTTAAACGTGACGAGCGAACGCTTTAACCACTAGACTACCACACACCCGAATCCCATACCGGCAAACACTGACTGTTTGGGTGATATCATTTCTCGGTAGGCATGATATCAACAAAGGGTTTGGGTTTTTACACATCGCCGAAAAAATAACTGTAATGACTGAATATTGTTTTACGTCGCTTTCAGCACATCCCAGAGGGCGCTGTGACTGCAACCATGCTGGAATCTCATGGTTAACGTGCCTCGAGTCATTCACATATTTTTACAATCTACAAGAACTTACATTCAATTTTATTCCAATCTTTTTCACTATATTTAATCCCAGAAAGACTCATGTTTTATTAAAATGTATTATAACAAAATTGTCGAACACTTTTTCAAGTCCGATCCAAAAGCATACGTACATCCACTGACTGTGGTAATTCAAACAAACTTGATGACATTCCAAAAAATACGATTTAGACACAGCAAAGTAATCAAATTCATTTAAGGGAAATAACGTCTTAAACGAACTGCCACGGGTCATGCCCCTTGCAGATAGCTGCCAATCGTCTTCTTCTATAAGAGTGATAGGCTGAGACAGCGATGGCGCGAGGTGAAGCAATTATTTGGCGGCAAACACTACATCAAGCCTGCCTTTCAACTTCCACCAACTTGTGGGACCCCTTTACCGCCAAATATTCACTGCATCAGTTTGAATCGATTAAATGGGTCCGACTAGCCATCGGGACATCTTGGCGAAAATCTGGCACTGGAGCAGAAAGTCCCCTCTTGAAAAGACTAGATTACGCCACTTCAGTGGGGGTCCACCTCCTTCGCCCCATAACACTTTCTATGGATAGGAAATTGAAAACTAATGCAAATGCCAATCGCTCGCTTCCCTAGCTAATTACTTTATAAGAGGATCAATCGAGAACTTGTGGTTGTATGAAAATAACGGTAATGAAATGTCAGCTGTTTGTGCGGGTCCCTTCATTGTGTTGCGACCTAAACAACGAAGATTCCCGATTTCTTCCGATTCCGATCGAACTTTCCCGACTTTTCCCGAACCCTCCTTCGGATGAGTGTTTGTTGAACTTGAATAACTTATTGATAATTCATTATCACCCCCGGCGCCAATGTTGCGTAATGGCTGTCGGTGATGGAAGGGAGGTAACTAGTGCGAGGCCAAGCGCTGTATTACCCACACTGCATGTCGTCTGCATAATGGTCTTGGGCTCTGTACAATGGAATTGCATTACCTTAAACGTTTGGACATGAGCGAGGAGGAAAATCAATAGCCAGTTGCCGGACTCGCCTGTGTGCTAAACAGGCAGTAGTAGATGAGAATCAAATTTTCTTAATTTGATATAAACAGCGAGAGGTTCGAGTGAGCACTGTTTCGGCCAGCTCTTTAACAAGGCTGAACGAGCTCCAAGCCGCGGGATTCTAGCTTCAGAAGCGTGCCTCCCGCTATCATCTCGCTGTATATCGAAGGTAAGTTCGTATTTTCTCTCTGCTTATGTTTTGCGAGCCGCTGTAACACGAGCGTGGCGCGTGTGGGCTGTGATTACTTGTATTCTGCGTGCTCCGGACAAGTCGCCCATATGGGGATCATGTCGTTGTCTGATAATGATACATGGAACCGCTTCATCCAAGCCTGTATCATTTGCCTCCTTATTTGTTTTCGCCCCAGTGCTGCACCGTACCAATAAACTGTCAGTCTAAATATTATAGAACCTAGTTATGACTATCATTGTTTATGTTATAAGATCTTTTCCCAAGGTACTGTTTTGGTTACCTTGCTAACAACCTGCCCAAACACCATGTTCCTAATTGGAAGCATGTTATGAAATTCTCATTGGCAGGTCGTTCACATACGCGCCATTCCTCGTTAAGTCCTAACAATGCAAACATCCAGTGTTTGATTTGATAATACAAGCTCTCTGTCCTCGATGGCACCGCGATTCTTCTCACAATATCCAATACTGCACGCTTTGACTCCAAATCCTTGCCTATAGGCAACGGTCAGCAGTGTCTCTAGTGACCAACTGGCCGTTCTCCTTCAAAAGCAACAGCAGTAGCAAAGAGATGTTGTTTTTTTCCTTTTATCTCCGGACTCAAATGTCGGAGCATAATGCTCCGTAGCAGATGTTGAAATAACAATTTTTGAAACACAGGAACTGGGTCGCAGAATGGCCTCTGCCCTGGTATTCAGGTCGCTGGTGGTAAACGTAATTCCACGCCACTCCGTGTAATTGTAGCCCCTTCCAGGGAGGTTCTTCATTTTAGGGAATTACATCAATTTAGTTGTACACGATCACCAAGAGACAGAACATTGTTTATACAGCATGCGAGTGTAAAGGGCAAAATATCAATTATTCAGTCGAGAGAGAGCGAATGTCACGAAATGATTTTTGTTCGGATTTGTAGTTTAGCTTTTCCTGTTCCAAGGCTAGGATGCAATGCGCGTTAAAAATCATGACTGATCTTCAAAAAAAAGGTTTCCGTTCGTAAGACCTGGATGCGTTTTCTGTTTCATCCATCTAACTCACGGTTGTTGTATTGTCTCAACTGAAAACAACGAGTCTATTTTCAGCAGAATTGATAACATCGTACTTAATGGCTGAGCAGTTCGCATCATGTGTTTTGTATGCTGAGTATAACCTGCAGGTTAACGGTACATTCTGTGAGGCTAGTCGTTGACCAGCTGACCCTGTGTGCCTTTACCTGAACCAATATATCTTAATTGGTTTACCGCTTACAGACATGGCGACTGTAGGAACATTGGGTGTTTGTTCTTTGGATGTTTCTTAGACAACACTTCCCTTGTAAACGGTAACCACTACCCATGATCTCCATGGCAACTAAAAGTTCGTTTGACACGATCTGTTACCTAGGTGATTTCTTGTTGCTCCCGTTATCTATCACTGGTTTGTCTGTCCAAGACTCGAATGTTTTCGTGTTGTGAAGAAATGGAATATTGTAGAGGATCGTTAAACACTCACTCACTCACTCACTCACTCACTCACTCACGCAATTGGTCACATGGAGACAGTAGATAAGTGTGCTGTTCAATTGTGGCCCCTACAGGGGTTCAAATTTTTTTTTAAAAGCCACTTGCCACAGGGCAAGTGACTTTAAGAAAGTAACTTGTCCTGACTAATTTTCCACTTGCCCTGATTTTATGACATTATTATGATGATATAATTATGAAAGAAGAAATCAACATGGTATTTGATGTTAATGTTTACTGGACTATTTATTGAAAAGTGATAAATAGCAAAGAAAGATAACTCTACTTTATTATCATTGCGAAATTTAATAGCTACATTTTGAGCAGATATGAAATTAAATCAAAGTTTATTTGCAGTTTGAAACCATAAGTGGAAATTATCTAGTAGCCCACGCAGAAGTAAGATACCATTATTTGATTGCCCGAAATGAAAACTGACTTGTCCCGGGCGTCGGGCGATGGGATTTTTGAACCCCTGCCCTAGGGGCTACTTTTGTCAATGCTACCGTATTTCACATAAAAAGACGTCATAAACATTGTTGCATCTTCCTCCACCCTAGCTATTTCTTCACCACTAAGATACCCAAAGACTCAGACAAAAGTGTGTTGGTTCAAACATATTCCACACATATCAGACATGTCAGCTTAATGCAGTTGGAAAAGAACAAACATATGTAGGTCCAAGACGAGCATCACTTTGGAGAGACCACAGGCACGGGCATGGTGCAGACACACCTGGACATATAAACTAGAGAACCTGGATTCGATTATAGGTTTGTGACATTTCTAAAGCCCACAGCAACACAGCGGTGTCTTAGTCGACAGGGCCACCCGTGTCCCCTCAAACTTGACTGGGGCGGTGGGGTAGCCTAGTGGTTAAAGCGTTCGCTCGTCACGCCGAAAACCCGGGTTCGATTCCCCACGTGGGTACAATGTGTTAAGCCCATTTCTGGTGTCCCCCGCCGTGATATTGCTGGAATATTGCTAAAAGCGGCGTAAAACTAAACTCACTCACTCACTCACTCAAACTTGACTGCTGATAATGACAACAAATACATAGGTGTATGGCTTTGTCCAAACGCCTTTGAGCGGTAGGGCAGCCTAGTGGTTAAAGCGTTCGCCCGTCACGCCGAAGACCCGGGTTCGATTCCCCACATGGGTACAATATGTGAAGCCCATTTCTGGTGTCCCCTGCCGTGATGTTGCTGGAATATTGCTAAAAGCGGCCTAAATCCATACTCGCTTATCCCAAGCACCTTTGGTATAACCGGTAGTTAGCCCAGTTTCTTGATATGCCAGCACCATTCAAGTGCGCCCAGTTTCACCAAAGACAAACATTTAACACCTGCATCACTTCATGCTTTCATCCCATATACCTCACACGCCTTTATGATTCAACCCATCCTGTGAAGATCCGGGTTAGAACTGGTCTTCAGCAACACATGCTTGTCGTAAGAGGCGACTGACGGGATCGGGTGGTCAGACTCGATGACTTGGTTGAGACATGTCATCGGTTCCCAGTTGCCTAGACTGATACTCGTGCTGTTGATCACTGGATTTCAAACTGGCGCGATTTTGGTAACATTTGTTATTACTTTGGTCCATGCATCAAGACACAAAATGTGGCAATGCACACTTATGTCTGTGAAACGTATAAACCATTCCGTGAAGAACCTTCGTTATTTGGGTCAAAAGGCATAAGGCTGACTTGCAGGATTAACCAGCCTTTTGCGTGTTCGATTGGATAAAGGGTGGAGCAGCGTGTTGGTCAATCCTTTCTGTCAGTGTTCCTCTGTGGACGTCTCTGGTTCAGACTCGATTATTTACAGACCGTCGCTGTATGGCTGGAATGTTGCTGAGTGCGGCGTAAAATTAAACTCATCCTCACTCACTCACTCACTCACTCACTCACTCACACACTAACTCACTCAGTTACCGTAAACAAGTCCCTCATTCGTTAACTCGATATATAATCTACATGTAATTCTTTTGGACTTGGCATTATGAAGAGTAAAATATCGTGTATTAAGAGTAAAATATCGTGTATTAAGAGTAAAATATCGTGTATTGTCGTGTATTAAGAGTAAAATATCGTGTATGAAGAGTAAAATATCGTGTATTAAGAGTAAAATATCGTGTATTAAGAGTAAAATATCGTAAGTCTACTTATATCAAGGGAGGGTTTGGTAGCCGATAAAGCTAGGGTTATAACGAACTATTTTATTAATTCGTTATAACCGTTGTTTATTGTTATCCAGTCGTTAGTCTCGGGTAACAGTAATATATTCCAGAATGGAAACACCGTTCTTCTCTTTACATTTCAAATTCTGTTTCTCATGTTCAGAGAAAGGTTACACTCAAATGTCACTGCGGAGTCTTTCCATCGATTTCATCTTATATCATGCACCGCACTGCTGGCGTCACGTTTGTCTAAAATCTGCTACTCATCCATGGTCTGAGCTTATCAGATTTAAACTGAGGCCCCTATCGTGTGTAATCATCACAAGCTCTTTACCTTGTCTCTGGTTTCAACATATAAAAAATAACAAATCTTTTATTCATACGGCGTTTTAAAATATGAAAAGTTAAACGATAACGGTACACAAAGAAACTTTGCTGACAATACCAACGACGGAACATGACGTAGCATAACGTATTCAGTCCGTTATCAGCTCCCTGAGGAGAATCAACCTAATACCATGAGTGGCGGTTTCTACCGATGGTCGGTGTTGTCACCGATTATGAAAGATCCATTTTTATAATTGTCACCTCTAGTTTGCCTTGAACACCTGGTGTTTCGTCGAATAATCGAGACTAGTTATTTTCTGGCTTTGAGGTTTAAATTACATACTACATCTGCATTTACACCGCCATACAATCCCACTTTGTATCGCAAACAACTTGCAGTTCTTTGGTTAGTTTCGTGTGTAACGCCGCACTCAACACCCATCCATATTCCAGCGGTCTGTAAATAATTGAGTCTGGACCAGTCAAACCAGTGATCAACAGCATGAGCATCGATCTACGGAATTTACGATACTATGTGTCAGCTAAGTCAGCAAGCCTGACCACATCATGGTGTCCCGATTGCGTAGATCGATGCTCATGTTGTTGATCACGGCATTGTCTGGTCCAGACTCGATTATTTACAGACCGCCGTCATATAGCTGGAATATTGCTGAATGTGGCTTTAAACAACAGACAAACATACAAGCGATAGCCATTTTCTCTGTGTTATATTATCAACCATGAAACATAAGTGGGTACTTTATTTTGGCCGGTAGTTTAGTTCATATTGATAAAAACAACGCTTTGCTAAGCAGAAATGAACAGTATCGATCTGCTAATGTACCATATTGACATTACGGATGCAGCGATGAAACCGACACTTACATCAATGTGTACACAAGCTCTACATCAGCTGCACGGCAGAATGCTTTATGATGTAAGTGTTTACCGGTTAGGTGTGGGACTAGGGGGT